GAGCACCAATCAGATTTCGAGATTTTCTTACAGATTATTCCAGAATTGATCTACAAAATTTGAAATCTCCCCGACTGTAGTACTTTATGGGATCAGGGTGTGACTCCAAAAGATCTCTTAGCTCTTTCTTGATTATTACTCCCAACTCGAGTGTTGTTCCACTGCGTGTCTTGCTATTGGGACTGATCACAGGCTCAGAAATTGCTTTAAAAAAAGGATAATCCATGCCAAAAACTGCAACAGCCATCTGGTACTTCAGTCGAGCTTCACGTGTTTCAGCTGACTCATCTGAACCTTCATTCTTCTGTTGAGATGAACTAGCTGCTTGACGACGTTTTTGGTTGCTTTTGTCTTCAACAAGTCTTTCAACTTTCCACTTATTAGAGCCAAGTTGCATATAAAGTGAAAGAAATGGTGCATTTGGCTTACTTTCGATTTGAGAATATGTCGTGTTAACCTTTGCTGTTGCAGTCACATACTTTGCATCTTCTGAATGAAGATAATTCTGAAACTGCAAGGTCACAACACCAACCTTGCTGTCATCAATATTCTCCAGATCCATATTATCAGAACTAATGTCCATACTTTCAGCTGCACCTGATTCAGAATCATACACTCCTATATATCTCCCTACTTCAGGTAAGTTGTCATCTGGCTCTCGATAGGCAGGATAATATTGTTTAGGGTCTTTTGACCTGCCAAACACAGACAGACTTGAAAACATGTCATCATCCATGCTGGTGAGCAAAACGCCAAACACTGCATCAATGCCTTGTTGGTTTCGTTTACATAGTGCAGCAACACCTTGCCTCATTAACCGCAAAAGCTGCATTTTGCTTGGAGTGTATCGCAACAAGAGAAAGTGGTTGAAGAAAATGAACCCATTGAGGAAGCGAGCACGTTCTCTCTGGCTGATCCCTCCTATTTGATTTATGCCATCTTTCCCAAGAAGAGTCATCAGATAATCCCGCACCCTGAGAGGCCGGGAAAATTGCATGTCTGCTTCTTTATAACCAGTCTGTTTCTTGCATGTTTCATCCCATGCCATCAGCAGGATACAACGTGCTACCAACTCACCTTGATAGCCACCCTCAACCAAACCATAACGCACTGCAGAAAGAAGTGGAGGCAAAAGCATCCGCATCGCTCCAGTCTCATTCATGAGTTGTGCTGATGCTTCTGCAAGGAGTGGTTCCGATGGGTAGCACATGTAGACCATGTCTCGCTGTTCTGAGATATGTGTGCACACAGCCATTCTTGATGCAACAAGTTCAGAAGAAAGAGAGGAAGATGGTACCACATCAATGCACAACCGCGGGCCTAGGACTGCTAATGCTGTAGTTGTGGAAAGCTTTTTCTGATCTGTAAGATATGTAGAAGAAGCTGAACCTAGCAGTTTGCTTTTCAACATATTCATTAAAGCATGGAATGAAACAACCCAATTTTCTTTAGTAGCTTGCAGGTAAGATCCATGAAGAGACCGTCCAAGACATGCCAGCCAAAAGGGATGACTGATATCTTTAAGTGTCGCAGGTACCCCATTCCAGTCTGAGGGTATGTCGTCATTAAGCCATTTGTTGCACAGTTGCTGATATGCTGTTGTTACGAGAAGATCAAATCCGCCAATGAGAACATAAGGAATGAGTAACTTTTTCTTGGTTAAAAGTATACGATCTGATGGATCAAATTCCTTGAGAGGCATGAAGTTTGTTATCCTTGAGGTAGTGTCCATGACGAGGACAAAAACATATTCCTCTTCAGAAATACACTGCAAAGCACGGCAAAAATGTACGAAGTAATTGAACTCAGAAGAAATCATCGTGCGAGCTTCATCAAAGACGAAAATCAAACTGGCCTGCTGTCTTCTGGAAATTGACTTTCCCTGAAATGTTGCTGCACACTTTTGCAAACACTGTGTCAAAAAATCAGCATGTGTGGCATCCTTGTGTGCACTTGAATCTTGTTCACCACCATTCTCCATGTTGGTCACAACTTCTTTCATGTTGTTCCTCACCTTGTTCCAGAATTCTGCCATCTGTGAGCCATCCGGATTTTCTACATGATAACGAAACCATTTGGCAGGGTTCATATTTTTTTCCATAATGATCTTGCTGGCTTGTTGTATCGCGGCAATTAAAAAACTGACATAATGTGCCTTGATCTGATCCTCAGTAGAATCTCTGAGCTCTGTTGACACCAGAGTATCAGTGATCTTAGACCGAAATGGATAACCAGTACTATTTGCTTTTCGCAAACAGATGTAGATACAATAGCATTCCTTTGCGACTTCTTTAATTGAACGTGATTTTCCGACCCCACTACCTTGCACAATCGCTGTAAAGGGTGCATAGTAATCATTCCTGTTGTATTCATGAAGACAACCATCGATGTGAGCAATCAACCCATTGACAATATCTTTGTTGTTGACATAGGGGATGTTAAAAGCACTGCTTATGTATCCCACTTCTTTATCACTGAAACCATACTGTCTCTGCAATCCTTTGCTTCGGTGTGGTGCTAAATCAATACAGTCAGAAAAATGTAAATTCGTACTCTAGTCAGTAAACGGCGCAGCCGTACGGCAAAAAAAATGCATTGATATGAAATAGGCAGATCATTCAACGTCGTGTTCTCTATTCTGACAACAGCATTCGAACTATTCTCTCCCTTCCTCTACTTAACCCAAGCGTATCGTATCTTGCTTATTTGCCTTTCACGTATGAAGTACAACTCTGCTCTATGTCCCGCATTCCAACTATTCTCTCTCCATTACTGCTCTACGAACTCCGTAATGTCTACGATCTAGCTCCGTCCCAACTAATAACACCCAACCACCTCTCTTGCAATATAGCGTAAAACCAGTAACAGTATTCAAACTCTTCTCCCCGTTGCTCCTCTATCCTCCCAATAAACGTGTGTCGCTTACCTTGCTTACCGAGTGTTTGAAGGAATTCCGCGTAGCAATCTGTCGTCGCTCCAGGGTTGTCCCGATGGTATGTAGCGTAGAAGTCATTATATTCTTCGTATTTTGCTCTTGCTTCCTTGCCAGTTGCTTCCCGATAGTCTTCTTTGTATTTAACAGCGAAATCCACTATATCCAGTGAGTAGTCCATGGCTAGATGTTTAGTGAAAGATAGTGACAGAAGAGTCGCGATCTGCGCCCGCCCAACTCAGCCCTGTTTATACGTTTTACTTA